GGCGATTAGTTGCTGCTGCTTCGGCCACCATCATTCGGTCAGCTGTTAATCTATCCACTTTTTCCCAATGAATCCAGTGCATTTTGTTGGCTAGTCCTATATTGACCGGTAAGAGTCTACTGTCAATATGTGCAAGATCTCGGCGGGTTTTATGTATCCGTTCCCGTAAACGAGCTCGTTCCTCCCGGTTGTAGATATTCTTGGCCTGGTTGGCTCTGAAGAATGTTGAAAAATTTTAAATAAAGAAGCTGAAAATAAATATTGCTTCTTATTTAAAGACATATTTCTACATTTTTTTTGTGGAATCGTGACTCTTCGCTCATCAGAGCATTCACCCATACGCGTTTCCTAGGCAGAAAAAAAGCTTGCTGATTTTTAACTTCTACCGATTCAATTTGCATTTGCGTTCTTTTATTTCCTTCTATTTAAGAAATCTTACTGTTTTCAATGGGTTGATTTACCAATCGCAAATATGCGTTTTTTAGGCAAAGAAAAACTTTTAGAAGACTATCGCCTTTTTTCAATGCATTGATTAGTTGATAAACTATTTTGCTCTTTCGAGTTATATGCTTTCGCGTTAGAGCTCTAAAGAATCACCCTGTATACAGGTACCTTTATCGGGTGGCAATCGCACTGATAATGCCATGGTGTCCGATTGTGACGATTTGCGCACCACAAAACATCCTTCCTCTTTGCCTTGCAGAAGATGAAACGCTCCAGCACGTTGAATGCCAGGCAAGAACCAGATGGGATGCGACAGCACCAAACGTTCCATAAGACTAATATCACATGTTGCTCCATATCCTAAAACACAAAAACCATCTAAGTCTATCTGGAAAAACTTCCTTCGCTTGCAGCCGCTATTGAAAGACTTTGCACGACTTAAACATGATAGATTAGTGGGGGTATTACCTTCTTCTTCGCTTCTTTCGCTGCTGGCATCCGAGCCACCATTGGAGGAAATCAGCGACTCGCGGGAAATTGATCTGGAGGAAGACGCGAGCGGTGGAGGACCCGAGGTTCTTAAGGGTGGCGGCGAGGGCGGTAAAACGCCCCCTTGCGAACTTTGCCGGTCGTTCAGGCCTTGAAGATACGGCTCAAGAAACGAGTCATTTCTGGAAAGAAATATTAAAAATTAGTCTTAATTATCGGTCACAGTATTGTGAAAATCTCATGTCACCATCTTCAACAACCACTGAGATATCTGCGATTTAGACCACCCTGTACCTACATACGTATTGATTCCCCCTGTATTTGCCAAGTAGCTAAAGATGTATAGCAATTTTAAAAAAGGTCGGGTTTTATATGGGAATCGTCCAATAAACGACCATTATATAATGGAATAAATTTTAGATTGAAAGCCTCAAAGGTCAAGAGCTTATGCGCATCTATAGTAGGTAATCGCAAGTAGCAGGTCAAGTTTATCAAGTTTCCACTTTGTCTCTTTCGGGAGTGCTTCTACTAGCATGAACAAATACATCTGTGTTGTCTTGGTGCTGGCAGTGATCTGTGTGAAGGAGTGGAAATTTTTTGTTCCCGAGAGGTTCTATGCGTCCCACTTGGGTGAAATCGTAAGCACTTTATACCGGCTAACTAATGGACATTTGAGGCACTTAAACATTTCCAGTCTGACTTCCTAGACTCGCATGGATATCCTTTGGAAAGCCATGAAGTTCAGACAGAGGATGGTTATTTACTGACGGTTCACCGCATCCCGAATGGTCGACATCACGTGCAAAAATCAACCCCCAAACCTCCAGTTTTCCTGATGCATGGTGAGTTGGATAACATTAATCGAAAAAACACCGCTGCAAGTTTGGAAAGCAATTTTCAGTCCAGTTTAAAGGTTAATTAAAGTGTCCCGCTTATAAATTACGCATTTTCAATGGACTCATTAAGTAGAGTATTGGAAATAACGAACAGTCAAATCAATTAGGCTCGATTTTGCTTTATTTAGAAACTGACCACAGCAAGAGTTACCACATTGAACAGGCTTGGAGATTTCCTGCATAATTTTGGTTTTCACGGTTATTCAATGGCCAACAGGTGCTAAACAACAGGTTTTTAAGTGGTATTTTAATAATCAAAAACTATGAAAGAATCCTGCAGATATTGAAAAAACAACGGTTTTTCTGAACAAAGAGTTTGGAAACAAACCGTTGCATTTCACCAGACAGATCATTTTGTGTTTCTAGCATTAACATGCCAGATAAAGTGAGGATGAGGTGCCAATCAATTTCCCACAAGTACCAAAATTTCAAAATTGGAGGCTGACCTTTAATCTAATCTTATCGATTATTTACGTTGCCTTTTGGTTTAAGCCTTTGAGTTGAAGCAGAACCCCGCAATTCCCTGTAAAAAATAAAAATCATTGGAAAATTTTGTTCCAAGCAAAACCACACATATCCAGAATTATGTCAGATTTGCCCAACATATCACAAGTCTATTGCAGCCAACAGGGTTTTAAAAAGTTTTCAGGATTGCGATCAGCTCAATATTGATTAATTGCCATTATTTTTGCTTGCACACTTGGACAGCATTGAAGTTTGAAGGACATCAAAGGGCTTCAAACCTGTTTGCAAAAAACGGATAAAATTTGCGATAAGCAAAGAATTTTTATTTGAGAAAGGAGTTTCAGAAAAAAGGTCGTGCAGTCGATCCTGTGAGGGTCAAGAATCTTTTTTCGTTTTGAGTCAAACACCTGCTTAAGGCAGGTTGGAATTGAGTGGTCATCCAATCAGTGGTGCTAAGAAAAAAGATTATGGCCAAAACTGGAAGGAATATTAAGGGTTTTTATGGTACACAAATATAGTAATTGGCAAAAATGTTCCCACTGTGCTACAGGAAGAACAAGAGGGTGAGGATGATGAATGTTGCCGCTTAGAAGGTGACGAGGTCTTCCACATTTTATACAGAACTAATTTTGCCTATTTTTTTTACTCAACGTTAACTTTCACTTTTATTAAGTACTTAGTTATTAAGAACTTCATTATTAAATTTTATATCGTTACTTATCTAACCAAAACACCACAAGTTTGAACAAACTATTCAAACTTTTGATGCGATTTATGCTCATTCCATAATTATACGATTTCGATATCGTGCGCCAGATTTATGTTTCAGTCCAAGTATAAATGACTACATAAAAAATCACAATGTTAAATTGAAAATTATACTAAAAATAATAGGGATGAGTGTGTACACACTGGATGGAATCAAAGAATCGATCTTTTTGGTTTTAAGAGTGTAATTTTTTTTGGTCTTTTTCAAGCCTTCAAAGGTACATTTGGCCTAGCGCTTTCGACTATTAAGTCATCATCAGGGCCTTCGYCAATCARTGCRCWGYGCAYTGATTGRCGAAGGCCCTGATGATGACTTAATAGTCGAAAGCGCTAGGCCAAATGTACCTTTGAAGGCTTGAAAAAGACCAAAAAAAATTACACACTTCAATACAACAAGACCGATTCTTTGATACTAAAAATAGTTTTTGGGAAATGTTTGTGGCATTTGGGAAATTTTCGATTGGGCGACAGCTCCTCAAGTGGACTGAAGTTACAAAAAGTTCACCTTTCCTCAAAAAAAAAAAATACGCTTCACTTCAACACTTCAACAAACCAATCTGAAATTTCAGGCCTCCTTCTCAGCTCGGTAGACTGGATGATTTTGGGCCCGGAAAAGTCCCTCGCCCTGATTTTAGCAGACGCTGGTTACGACGTGTGGATTGGGAACAATCGAGGAAACAGCCGCTCAAAAAACCACATCACTTTGCACCCTCAAAAGGATCGAAAGGAATTTTTCAGCTACAGGTAAACATCGCAACCCACTCAGCTCAACATTTAACAGCCTGGGTTTTTTAGCTATCATGAAATCGGAATATTCGACCTTCCTGCAATGATTGACCATGTCTTGAGTTATACCGGGCGTAGCAAATTGTCGTATATCGGCTACTCTGAAGGGGTGACGTCGTTTTTTGTGATGGGCGCCGAAAAACCCGAATACAACGAGAAAATCCTGCTAATGAACGCCTTTGCCCCCGTGACTGATTCTTTTAATGTTACCAGCGAGATTTTTAATGTGCTGAGCGCGTATCCGTGGCTGCTGAAGGTAAAAACCTCTTCGGCAACCTCGCCGGCGAAATATTTTAAAGGCAATTCTAGCTAGCAAATTTCATCGGTTGGTATGAGATGTTTGATGTTAGCACGGCCCCCATTTTTCGCCTGCTCTGCCAAAGTAGAACCCTATGCAACTTGCTCTATCATCTGCTCGGATCGTCTAAAGAACAAATGCCCGACCAGGTACTTTCGGCAGCTTTAAGCATGATTACATGATACTCAACTGGATATAACGGCGGTTTTTTCAGGATACCCAACTGAGGATTCTCTCCCATTTGCCTGCGGGATTATCTTTGAACCAAATCAGCCATTACATTCAAGGAACCATTACCGGTGCGTACTTTTCCGAGCTTTTCGCACGTTTATAGCGACACTTTCAGGCATTTATGGGCCTCTCAGCCAAGACATCACAACAAAAACCGATCATCTCATCTACGACGTCAGCAAAGTCGATGCCCCAATAATTCTTTACTATGGAGAAAGCGACAACTTGGTCAACCAGCATGTAAGTCGATGGAATTCTATGGACAATCAAACTCAATAAAGTCGCGATTTGTTGCAGAGAATGCTGGAAACTGTGGCTAAGAAGCTCCCCAATCTCGTGAAACTCTATAAGGTTCCTTATGCGAATTTCAATCACTTGGATTTTCTTTATGGGAATAACGTTTCCTTGCTGAATGAAGAAGCTCTGCGAAATCTCAATGAATTCAACGGCAGAAATGTAATCAATTAATAGTGATTTTTTAAGTGGTAGGGAATATTAAAAACAAGTTGGGAGGAACTAAGTTTGTTCCTGTGCCCAAGTAATTTGTGAGACTTAGATGCAACACTGAAGTTTTTTGGACTTCTTGCATTTCAAACTATCAGACTTTCTTTTCAGTGGTTTCGTTTTAGAAAGTAATTTGGAATAAGTCGCAAAGTTTATACAGGGTGTCCCACCGGGAACCGCTGCGATCGATATCTGGCAAACTGTAATTAGTAGAAATTTGAAAATTGGGCAGTGTGCCGAGGGCATTGAGGGCACGCCGCCTAAAATATTTTCCAGATGACCACACTTCCGGTTATACCGGAAGTGCGTATCAACTTGCTTATTTTAAATGGAACACCCTATATATTATTACGTTTTTGAATTCTATTCCAAATTCTAAATGTATTTCGTGTATAATATCCTATACCTAAGTCAAACCGTTTTTGAGATATTTAGAATTTTATGTAAAAAATTACAGTTGCAGGCACTCGAATAATTATTCATTTTTCCTATAAGGGAATTTGTCATACTTAGTTTGAGTCGCACTTATTGATGAAAAGGACTTACTTTAATGGAATTTCTAAAACATTTTGAAAACTATTAATACAAAGTGTTAAAAAATAAGTTTTAAAATACAGTTGAGAAAACCGCCCAAAATCAGTTTTTTTCAAATGGAAACCACCATTTTTGATAATTTCGTCATATTCAGGATTCAAAATAAGTGTAAGTTTGGGTAAAGATGTCTATTCCAAAAGTGTTTAGTTTTCGAAATATTGCCAATTTAATGTTTTCATATGGCTATTTTGCAGCATCTTCTTTTAAATCCTGTCACTCTTAGTTGCCATGACGAAAGTGGCCATTTTTAATACGATAAAATGCCAAAGGAATGCTGACAGCTGTCAATTACCTTTTGAAAGTAATTAATAATCATGCCGGGGCGCTTCAATTATACAAACTAAGATTATTTAAACTTATTAATTATTTATGGAGTATGTGATAAAGTTATATCAAGATCCGTTTTTGTATCATCAAAAGCACAACATGAGGGCTTCTGTTTTTGTGCATATCGAATGGCAAATGTGTCACATGTTCTTTATACAGCTTGATCACATTCTTCATAAATAATAAATAAGTTTAAATAATCTTCGCTTGTATAATTGAAGCGCCCTGGCATGATTATTAATTATTTTCAAAAGGTAACTGACAGCTGTCAGCATTCTTTTGGCATTTGATTGGATTAAAAATGGCCACTTTCGTCATGGCAACTAAGAGTGACAGTATTTAAAAGAAGATGCTGCAAAATAGCCATATGAAAACATTAAATTGGCAATATTTCGAAAACTAAACACTTTTGGAATAGACATCGTTACACAAACTTACACTTATTTTTAATACTGAATATGACAAAATGATCAAAAATGGTGGTTTCCATTTGAAAAAATTGATTTTGGGCGGTCTTCTCAACTGTATTTTGAAACTTATTTTTTGAACACTTTGTATTAATAGTTTTCAAAATGTTTTCTAAATTCCATTAAAATAAGTCCTTTTCAACAATAGAAGCGACTCAAATTAAGTATGACAAATTCCCTTATAGGAAAAATGAATAATTATTCGAGTGGCTGCAACTGGCATTTTTTACATAAAATTCCAAATATCTCAAAAACCGTTAGACTTAGGTATAGGATATTATACATGAAATACATTACTGTGATAAATTTAATTGCTGTTGTTCGTATCACCGAATAAAGGGACCGAAGCGAAAAAGGCTTTTTATCTTACATCATAATTCCGGGAAGCAAGCTAACAATATATTCTCCGGAAATGATCTAATAATATCAGGTTTCAGTCTCCAATCGATAAACTGCTGATACGCAACTTCACATCAACTCAACAATTCAAAAAACAGCAAAATTCAAAAATCATCAACTGATTGTTCATTTGCTTTTCTTTCCATTAAACCAGAAAGGTCACGCTTTTCTGCGCAAATAACAGTTCAAAGTTTTCCTATAATCGGCTTACTCTAAAGGTTTGCTATTTCCTGATATATGTCTAAGCCTCACCACAACTGAAGGAAATGAATACTAAAAATATCGTGAAATGCGATTTAAAAGGAAAAAACTTCCTTGTATTTAGCACAAAAACACAGACAATAAGCTGGATGTAATATGGATTCAAGATTCAATAGTTTCAGCACATTTATATAAAGTCGAGCTAGGGAACTTTCCAAGAATTTCGGAAAATCATTGCGAACTGAAATTGTTTGAATAATCGAACTTATTTATTATTATTCGTCCTACAAAACAATAACAAATAACAAAAATACACAATTTTTCGTAAAACGCCTGGCAAGAACAGCAATCGAAATATTTTCAAAATAGTACATTTTCCCAAGGAGTGAACTTATTTTTTGTTTAATTTTAAATATGCGGTTTTAAAGCTTATAAGGGTTGAGTTCGAGGGCAACAAAAAGAGGCACTTTTATGTCGAAAAAATCGCCATTTCAGTCAAATTTTCTGGGAAAAACTCCTATTTGATTGTCATATGAAAAACAGCTTTTCGTTTCACTTGGCACCGAATCTGATCACTTGTTTAGCGGAAAACTTCATTTTTTAGGCAATTTAACAAAAAAATGCCATTCATTTGAAAAAATCACATTCCTGTTGTGAGTAACATCAAATTGCTCCAAATTGAATTCAGCCTCATAAAATGAGAAGCAAATTAGCGTGCAGCCAGCGCGATTATCTCCAACACCTGTTACATTAACTTTCGCATAAACTTTTATGGGAAACCGATGATGAAACAGGGCATGAAGGCAGCCCAACTGTTAGCTCTAGTCACGCACTTGCGATTTGCTTTCGTTTATGCGACTATGAAAAATTGCAGCTAAATTGCATCGAAAATAAAACTACATTGAATCAAAGTGTTTAACAGACAGAAACTTTCTACAACTGTAATTATTAAGACTATTAATATCAGAATTGTCTAAAACTGCCATCCACAGCGACAAGAGGTAACGTAGGCAAAATCCCAGGAAATTATCTGAAAAATTAAAAAAATCTCGCGGGTTTGAAATGATCCCCTAGACCCTGCTAAATAAAGTGTAAGGTAAGTGTTAGAATTCTCGGAAAATTTATTTTGTTTTGTTGATGAAGAATTTTGAAAATTTTAACTGAATGGTATATTGAAATGTAATCACAATGAACAATTGGCGCTTTCTCGGGTTATTACGCTTACAAAATCGCTGTTTTTTTAATTACAATTATATTAAATTTGCGCTGAACAAAAAGCCGAGAAAACCTCTCTATATAGATAAGTTCTATATTGTTGAGGCGGATTCATTTTTTACAAACTTCTTTTTGGGTATGAGATGACGTTAGAGGAAAATTAACACCACACAATAGTAAAACACCACATTTTTGCGGAGTTCCAAAAATTCATAAAGTTAATATTCCTTTACGACCAATAGTTAGTAGTATAAATTCACCTACACATCCCTTAGCCAAATATCTTTTAAACATTTTAAATCCCCTAATAAATAACACAACTTCCTATATTAAAAATTCTGAACATTTTTTACAAAAATTATCAGACATAGACATAAATCCAAACCATATTCTAGTAAGTTTTGATGTTGTTAGTCTATTCACTAACGTTCCTGTTGATAAAACTTTAAATATCATCAAACAAAAATTACAAAATGACACCAAT